GCTCTCCACCCCCCAGGATGTTTGGTATTTTCCTGATAGGCCTTGCATGGAGAGGAAAGGGCTTGAGGATCGAGACTGTCTGGGAAACACTGGCCAAGCAGGGCTGGACGTGTCTAGGGCAGCGAGTCTGAGGCTTCATGCGGCACACATGTGTGAATCTCCAAGCAGGGGAAAGCCTGGCAGCAAAGTTTCTCAAACTCATCCGCCAATCAACTACAGTCAATTCTCGTTGTTTGCAGTAGTTACATTCTATAAAGTTCCCATGAACACCGAGTGAGGGAATACTGAGCCACTGCTCCTAGGAGAAACACAGGGCGAGGATCCTCGCAGAATGAGCCTCTGGTCACGACGTTTTTGTCAACCGATCAATACATAACCTAGTTTTATGTGTGTTTCTATTTAAATGCACTTTATTTAATATGTACTGCTTACCAATAATTAATTATATACAGTATTTCTTTATAATAAAACCCTGCCTGAGAAGAGTTTAACATTTTCCTGACCACAGATAACAAGACTGTAATTTCTTTGGCTTTCAGCCTCGTAACAAGACCATCCACTACACTTTTTTATTGGTGGTCATCTCATGAATCCACAAATTTAGCTACTATTCCATCGCTTCATCACACATTATAGATATTCCTTTCCAGAGCAGCCTCATGTACAGACTGGCGAATTCTCTCTTCCTTTTTCTGGATGTATCCTACTGCTGACTCATTAACACTGAACTCATGGCCAACAGACTATAACTCTGTCTGAACGAAGCTTATCTAACACAACGTCTTTTCTCCATAAGGCCCATCGCAGCCTTCTTGCACTTGGAAATACCAGACAGTACTCTAGCACTGCACCTGGGGGTCATTTTATCACCAAGAGAAAGCACAAAAATGTGGCACTAAATAGACCATGAAAAGGACACTTGTTGACAATATGAGAGCTGAAACAAGAAGGCAGTGTGTCTCTGGCAAACTCAGCTGGGAACGAGCACATGGGTGACTCAAATTTTTCGGCTCTCTGCACATGTCCTCAAATAACTGCAAAGTGCCCTGAGTACTGATTTTAGGGTCACAAATAAATGTTAGCAAGTAGGAAAATACACAAATACAGAATTCATGAATAATGAGGAACAACTGTTTACAGAACATCTCTAAGAGGATGCTTTGGGAAATCCTGACAGGTAGTTTGTCTCTGATTTGAAAACTCTCAACGATGGAATTCTACAATGCCACATGGCAAAATATTTTTGCCTATATTTTCAAAATTTTCCTCAATAAACATGCATTGCTTTGAAATAACTTTCTTTTTTCTTTTCTTTTTTTTTTTTTTTACTAAAAATCACTCACACACAGATCTCTTCTGTTCCCCATGATCACATCCTGCAATCTGAGTCCATCTCCTTTGGGTTCTCTCACATCCTCCCCTCCCCCCCCATGCAGACCCCTTGCTCTCATCAAAGTGGCACAGATGGCAGGTCTACCTGCAAACTGGAGCCTTTTCAAAATACATGGCATCCTACAGCACTGGGGAGCTCCAAAGGGCACACATTCCATTTCCCATCGCACACAGCTATTCACCTTTCCTATCGGCCAGACTAAAGCAAAGCCCTCTGTGATATTCATCCACCCCAGTCTGGGAAGAAGGAACCATCCAATTAAATCTCTCTGTACCCAAAGGAGGTGGAAAGGTGACAGATTGGTCATCAATATCTTAAAAACACTGCAGAGACAATGGAAATGATACGAGCAAAATTCAAAAGAAAACATTGCAGCAAAAAGTAACATCTGTAGTATACAAAGTGCGCCTAGGAAATGCAAAAGCATCAAGACTCGGAAAGATAAAAGACATGAATCTAACATTAACAGAAGAGAAACAGTTAGACAAGATAATCATAGAGAGATGGTCAATATTCACGCCCAGCATGGGGATTTACCCTCTGGTAATAAACCGAGAGAAGGGAAACACAACTTATACAAAGACGTCTGGGCCAGTCTATGTATACGAGAAAATGCCATCCACAACTGCATGCTCAATGGCAGGGTCTGTACAGACAAATAACAAATAAATTATGTGGCACATCACCTGAATGGAACATTCAAAGGCCAGCAAAAATAATCATGAAAATTTTATGGCAACACAGAGAAACATTTATAATACGTCAGATTGTAAAAGCTGGATCACAATATCACACCCAGATTACAATGACAGCTACATACCTTGTTTATGCTCAGTGCTAGAGTCTGAAAAGGAACACGGAAAAACAGAAAGAGCTCACCCACGAGGATGGCGGGGACCCTGGAGAATATTTTTTCCATATTCCTACTTCTAATTCTATTGTAATACTGTGATCCACACAACGACTAAATAAAATGCTATTAGGGCTTGCCTGGTGGTGCAGTGGTTAAGTTTGTGCCCTCCGCTTCGGTGGCCTGGGGTTCGTGGGATTGGATCCGGAGTGCAGACCTACACATCACTCATCAAGCCATACTGTGGAGGCATCCCACATACAAAATAGAGGATGACTAGCACAGATGTTAGCTCAGGGTCAATCTTCCTCAAACAAAAAGAGGAAGATCGGTAACGGATGTTAGCTCAGAGCCAATCTTTCCCATCAAAAAAAAAAAAACCCTATCTAGTACTCCTAAAAGTACCCACGACATAACTTTCTGAGCTTTAAAATGAGAAGAGAGGAAAGGGATGCCGTGCAATTTCTCCTCCAACAGAAGTCTTCCACAGCACGGCTTCTCAAACTTGAATGTGGCATCTTGTTGACATGCAAACTTGGATTCTGCGGTTCTGAGGGAGGCTTCCCAGTGGTACTGATGCTGCTGGGCCACAGACCACACTTTAGAAGGCAGGAGTCTAAAGCATCTAGGTGGCCAATATTGCCCATCTCTCCTTTATATTTTCTGATTTTTACTGCAGCCTTAACTCTAGGCTGTGCTACACTGACTGTGCGGACACACTGGGAACAGAAAGGCCAGCGTGGGACTCACAGGCACCCTCTGTACCCGTTTGAGGCCAGGCCTTTGTTGGTTCCTGCTGTCTGGCAGTCCCCGGGGTGGTTAGGGATTCCTTTGAGGAAGGCAGCTTGTGACTAGAAGCAAGGAATCATCAAATTTCCTAGTGTACGACCTTCTTTACACAATCTTGCTTTCAAGATGAGTCCTATCACTCGTGGCTCATTTTGGTTAAATTTCAAAGAGTTCCCCATCTAGAATGGGCCACTCGGGTCTACACGATGTGAGGACTCTGGCCATGTTCACCCAGACCTGGTAGAATCCTCAGGAGGAGCACCCAGATCCCATTTTCATCAGGGGCCCTCCTAGGCCCTGAGCTGAGAACTGCCAGGCTCTCCCCTTGATGGAATTAATTTGCAAATGAATGAGTGAATAATACCAAAAAAGCTATGCAATAATTAACCAGCTTAAATGAGCTTTTCCAGTGTTTTAGATAAAAGCATATGCTTCAAAGAGACACTCTGTTTAGGGAGAGAAGTGACCTGCTCTTGCATTCAATGCCACTTCTCTGAAGAACAGACCTCCTCCTAGGTCCTCAACAATGGCTCAGGATGTCCCTGACCTCCATCTGCCCTTTGAAACCACCACCCATTCATTCATCCCCACTCATTTATCCCCAGCCCTCCAACCCAAAGGTCTGCGGTTTTCACTCAAATTCGCAACTGGTTCAAGTGAAGCACAAAAACAGTAACACATCAGGTCTCACCCACTCCCCACCATGCTCTAACGATAATTTTCTCTTGACAAGAACTTTGTCAGGGAAGTCGTCTGTTACAACAGACGCAGTATGTCACCCGCCCTGTGCAGCCCACATCAATCCCAGCGGCGCCAGCGCCACTGTCGGGGGATGGGGTCCAGCTCTGCCAAGACTGCAGAGGGATAGTGGTGCGTTGGCCCAAAGCCCAGACCTTGGGTCCAGAACAGCCTGCCCCTGGGGGAAGCTCCTGTACATCCACTAGTGCAACAACAGTTTCTTTATATCCCAAAGGCCCCCGTGCACGCACAATTGCCATAAATGACAGGGACACCCTGAAAGTGAAGTCAACTTATGCTTAATAATCTTCAAAAAGAACAAAAGGCATCAAACGTCAGTTCCGGAACTCTAACTGCGAGTCAATATGACTTATTTCCCGAACACAAGCTCTTACTATATATGTATTTTTTAAACACAGAACTCTTCTGGAAAAAGAAATAATAATTACGGCTTTAAAAAACATCAAAGCAGTTCATTCTCATTTGTCCACAGAACTGGCCAAATAGAAGTTTCTTTATACAAGTCTCATAATCACATCTTTATATACTCACAGTGATTCTTTTCTGAAACGCTGCTTTTCAAATGTGTTTATTAGAATACACACTTACTTTGCTATAATTAAAAGAAAATATAATTATGCTTAAATCCACTGGCCTCATTAGCAGGCATTTCTTCTCCAAGACTTTGTCAAACCTTCAAATAATTATTTTCAAAATGGTTATTTACAGCTCATTGCCCATCATGCCAAGACTCCCGAGCTTCCAGAGAAGTGTCACCCGGATACAGTAGCCCCTGTGAATGCACTCGGGTCGCTGCCCCTCACCACCAGGCTGCCCCAACTACTGACCACAGCAGTACGCACCTGCCAGCACACCCATATCCTTACTGATGTCCTGCTGGCCTGAAGAAACCACCTGGGCGTAGGGGGCAACAGTCACATGGCCCACCCTGACCATGAGCAGATCCAGAGCACGCAGGGTAGGGACCCAACCTCTTCTGGGTGGGCGGTAGGGTCTTCTGGGAGCACTACTCGGCCATCAGCCCTCAACGAGACTTTCCTGGCATTTACTAATGCATGTGAGGGGTGAACTTGAGTGGCCAGAATGTCCACACGTGCCAGGTAACTGAACAGATGAAGCACTAAGCACGCATTTTGAACTGTGGGCTACTCCAGAACATCGTTTGCTCTCTGGGCCCCTCCACCCCCTTCCCTGGGGATGGAGTCCTACCTGCTCTTGGGGCCACTTTGGCCTCTCCTCTGGAGTCCTAGTCTTGGTCTTGAAGCCTCTTTGGGGGTCTCCGGGGTGCTTGGCCTCAGGAGGGAGGTTCAGCGACTTGGGCCTTCCCTCGTGTCTGCTGGGGCTGTGGCTGGCCTCGCCGGGTGGGCAGGCCTCTGTGGAGTCCCCAGGCCCCGGCTCAGGCCCCCGCACCAGTGCGTGCTCGGGGCTGGCCTCGCCCGCACTGGTGATGCTGGTCATACTCAAGCTCATCTTGATTTCAGCCACGATCTGGTCGATGTCCTCCTCCTGGTCCTCCAGGTCCCCATCCCCACGCCTCGGGCGATAGGGGGAAGTAGTGCCTGCGTTCCCGTTGGCCTCTGTGGGGTAGTAATCCTGGTAGCCCTCTTCACTGGGACAGTAGTGGATGCCTTCTTCCTGGTCCTGGGCCTCCAGGACGGAAGCCTCATCCTCCGGGATGGGGAGGTGGCCATCCTGGTAGTCCGGGCTGCCTTCGTCCCCATGGCCGTGCGGGTGCGGGCCTGCCGAGTCCGTCCACTCCTCCACCGCCTCCTGGCACTCGTCTGTCTCCAGGTGGCGCGTGCCATGGGCCGAGTACCCCTCCCCATTGCAGTCCATGCCCTCCAGGTAGCTGTCATCCTCGGGGCAGTAGCGGATGTAGTAAGTGATGCCCTCCTCCTCCTCAGGGAGGCCCTCATCGTAGTCCTCCTCCTCAGAGGTGTTATTCACATAGTCGGAGCTGGAGTCCCCATCGGGGCTGTGATCGTGGCACCCCTGCTCTGCAGGCGTGGGGCTCTCCGGCCGCAGGGCAGCCAGCTCCAGGCCCTTGGGCATGTACTCCTCCAGGGGCAGCTCCACATCCTCACTTTCGGGCCCCTGGCCATGGGGGACAGGGCCCGGCCTCGCCCTGTGGTCCAGCATGCTGCTCACGGTACTCTGATGCTTCCGGTTGGCCATGGTGGATGCTCATGCGGCCATCATCACCAGGAGGCAGCCACTGTGGGGAAGAATGGTGGAGAGAACAGAGTCAGGACCCCACAAAGCACAGCCAACCAGAGAATCAGGCCACTGCAGGCTGTTGGTGGCGGGACTCGCTGGAGTGTTTCACCACCATGTTTTTTCAGAGCAATGTTAACGCACATCTGTTCAAATACTGTGACATCCCCACTCCAGCTGACTCATTTGTCAGGAACAATGGGCGCCCATGCCAAAGAGAATGGAGGACACGCCGGACCAGAGAAAAAGGAAGCAGAGGGGAGACACCAACAATTCACAGGATGCCTGCTTCTTTCCCCGAAACTCATGGGCTCATTCATGACTTCTTGAAAATGCTCACTCAGTTTAGGTAGCCTAGGTGAGCAAGACAAATGGTCATAAGATCAGGTTACTTGCTCTCAAAAAGAAAAAGAGAAGCTTTCATTCAGAAGACATAATGAAGACCAATGAGGAGGAATACTACATCTTCCAGGTCTCAATCCACTGATCCTCAAAAGCCATCTCAAGGCCCCCTCCCCTACGAGATAGTCCCACCCTCCCCAGCGCACAGAAGCCTCTCCTTCCTTCTCACTCCAAACCAAACAGCATTCACCGAGTGACCAAATTTGCCAGGAAAAGTCTAGGTCGAGCACCATACAGAGAAGCAGAATACGATCCCTAGTCTCACAGGCTCAAGGGGGTGAGGGCTCAGGAGGGGGCAGACCAGAGGGAGGACGGCACTGTCTGGCCATGGAGAGAAGACGCACACACAGGAGGGTGCAAAGGATGGGGCTGTCACTTGTGGGATGGTACCAGGGGCACTGCAAAGATCCTGCGTGTCAAAGGGGAGGTCCTGTATCCCACTGCCCAGGACTCTGCATTTTATCCCACAAACCATGCAGAGTCACTGGGCAATTTTCAGCAGGCACGTGACACACAGGATCTCTCTTTTAGCCCCATCTCTCTGGGCCCAGCATGGAGGAGATCCTGGGAGACAGAGGCTGGAGGAGGGGAGACCAGTGAAAAGACTATCCCAGTCCCCCAGGGGAAAGCGAGGGATAAAACCAGGAAAAGTGCATACGAGGTGTTCAAAGTTTGGTTAATGTTCTATTTCTTAAGCCAAGTGGTTACCCAAATGTTTGGTTTATTCTTTAAATTATACTTTTACATGACATATGCCTATTTTTCAGTTTGCATCATAGTTCATTTATTTTAAAACACTTAGTCTAGTAGTCCAGTTAAGATATGAGAGCCTGTACACTTAAAAATGGTTAAAATGGTAAATTTTATGTCATGTATATTTTACCACAATTTTAAAAAGAAGAAGAAAAAGAACAAGAGCTTAAACTAAAACAGTGGAAATGAGAGCGAAGCAACTCAGTGAGTATTTAGGTGGTAGAAGCAATGGGATCTGGAGTCAAATGGGAGTGGAGAGTGGAGATGGTCCCTGCCCAGGCTGTGAGCTTGCCTCGCTGTACCTTCTCTTTCCTCCACCTTGTCTCCCCAGGAATGTCATAAACTAAAGACCTTTGTATTCTGTATCCCCAGGAGCACCCAGCACAGCATTTTGCTTGCAGTGATACCTAAAACACATCCGGTTATGAGACTGGGTTTACCAGATGGCCACAGTCACAGCATTAGGAATATTCCCAAAAGAATGGAGGAGATAATTATTTCATCCAGTCCAGACACTCAGAGTGTGAGCACAATTACTGATTGAGCCACACGCTTCTGACATGTGAATTCACTCCAAGGAAGTTTCCCCTTGCAAGGGGCTGATGAATGACCATGTTTTGGAAGCACTGCTAGATGTTGAAAGATTCCTAACGCCTCCCCAGAGCGGCCCACACACTAGAAAGATGTCCCACACCAGGAATATCATCACTGAGATGGACCCTGTAGAGTGTGAATGTCCTCACAGTCACTCCATCCCCAGACCCTGAAACTGACGGGACAATTCCAGACATTTGTTCTCAGGTAGAGAGCAAGGTGTTCAGTGTGTACTAAAATACAGGTGACCAGAGGACGCATCAAGAGCACTGAGCTGCCTCACAGCCATTTGTCATTTTACAACAGATTTCTTACATTCACGGAATAGCCAACCACAAGGGTCATGCTACATGTTGTAAGACAGAGAGAAGGAAATTGGCAACCATATTCTTTTGGAGACAATTTCCAGTAACAGCATTTCCCAAAATGGTCCCTCAAAAGCATGTACTGAATGCAAGGGCTAACACGTGACCAGATACCTACGCCTTGAGAGTCAGGATGGTAGAAGGCAAATGGGGCTGGCAGTACTCACACATGAGCACACAGCTTCCATTCCTTGGGGAGTGGCACCATCTGTACAGCATCTCTGTATCTCCCCAGGCCTGACACTCGGCCGTGGACATGCTGGTACTCACATCTTTGTCAAAGAACAAACCCAGGTACCTAGTACCTCTTAACTTCAAATTCTACGTCATTTGGGAGATAAAATCTGTAGGCACACAGAAACATATGCACGCCCAGACCTACATAAAACACTCTCTAAGACAATATAAGACTCAAGGACTAAAGTATATACCAAGTTACAGTAACAGGAAACCATCCTGATCCTATTGATAAGTTATCTAAGTAATCTATAATTTAAGGCTATCCCAGGAAAAATCTCGGTGGAATATTAGGGAAACTGACCCAGTAATTCTTAAGAATCATTTGCAAGAACAAACATGAAAATGGAAGAACAAACATCTGAAAAGAGCTGGGAAGATCTAAAAATGAGAATAATGTGGGGGAACTTGCCTTACCAAGTATTTAAATATACTCTAAAGCCATAGTAATAAAAATGGCGTGGTACTGTCGCTGGGCAGATAGAAATGGTATAGACTAGAAAGTCAAGAAACAGATCTACATTTACGTAAGAATTTAGTCTATAACACGTAGAGTGACCAGCTATCCCAGTTTACTGGGACTGAGGAGTTTCCCAGGACACAGAACTTGAAGTGCTAAATCTGGGACGGTTGGTCACCGCATGTGCAAAAGAATATTCTATTCAGTGGGGGGCATTGGGATAGTTGGGTGAACGAGCGGTTCTCAAACTCTGCTGCATGCTGGAGTCACCTGGGGAATCTTTACAAGTACTGATGCCTGGCATTCCAAGTCCGTTGATATGAGGTATGACCTGGCATCAAGATTTTTAATGTGTAGCAAAGTTTGAAAACCACTGGACTAGCCTTTTGGGAGACACTAAGCTACTCCCTGCCTTATATATGTATACTTTTCAGAAGGGCTAAACCATTAAATGTAGAGAGTAAAACGTCCCAGATGGTGGCCAGACTTGCTTGCTTCAAGGGGAAATGTTTGACCCCTCCCATGGCAAATCTGGAACCCATGGAGCTGGGCGTGGGGTGCAGCTTACAGACCCAGGGAATGTCAGGGGGAGCACTTATTTCCTGTGACACCAGGAGGAATGGACATTTTCCCTTGAAGCAAGCAGATCTGGTTGAGGACAGTCCATCTCTGTCCATACTCCAAAGACAGAGGAGCCTCCCACATCTTGTCTCAACCATGAAGGCCAGATGGCCAACCCAACTGCTGCCAGCTCACTGGAAAGTCATCTCCCACTGTACCTTCTACTGCCCAGCAAAGAGAAATGTTTACACTCACAACATTGGGTCTTTTCACCCAAGCAATATCTCCCTATTTATTCAAGTCTTAGGTAGTTCTCAACTGCATTATGGGTTTCTTTGTAGCTGTAGACATCTCCTATTAAGTTTATTCTTAAATATATTATTTTTTGTGACTGTTATGAGTGGACTTTCTCTCCCATTATATATTTACCTGACTACTGCTGGTACATAGAAAAAAATCTATACTGATCTTGTACCATTTCATTTTTAAATTCTAATAGTTTTTGGTTCGTAATTTTGTTCTTCTCTTTTCCAGCATTTTGTCATCTTGTCTGGCTTCCACTACAAAGTTACAGGACAGTGGCGCTAAGAGGCATCCTTGACTTATTCCCACTTGGAATGAAAACGCCTTTACTCTTGACCAAGGCTGGCCCCAGGGTGAGGCAGGTGCGGCACTCACCTTGGTTGCAAAGTTTAACAGTGCGCCAAAAGACACAGGAATCAAAACAGATGATATTTTAATATAACACAAAAAATTCAAAATTAATGCAAAAAATCCATCATGAACAAAATATCAAAATTTTAAATAAAGACAGGATCAGTCTTATGGAATTTTCCTTTTGCCTCGGGCTCCAATATGGCTTGGCTGGACACTGTGAATGATAATTTTTAAAAGTTTTCACCGTTAAATACAATGCTAGTTGTCAGTTTTTCTAGAATTTGCTAGTGCAGACCTTCTGATCTGGTTCCCTTTTCCATGGACACAAATGGAAAGGGACCTACAGCGGCCACCCAGGAAGGCAGCTGCATCTTTGAAGCGTCTGCAGAAATACATTTAACCCAAGAGGACACTTCTGGTATAAGAGAAAGAGCCCTCCTATTAAAGATGAAGACAGAAGGTCCTTGTTTAAACTCAGACCTCCATTTACTGTTAGGCCCTGGGCAAGATATTTAATGGAGGGATGGCCTTTCCCCCTTGGGAAATTAGAAATGACAGCAGCTGCCTGCAGGGCTTCAAGTGGGTTAAAGAGGAGAGTAACCCATGCAGGCCTCAACTCCATGAACATTTGTTTTTTCTACTACACAGAGGGAGTTGAAGAAAGGCTTAAATGAAATTTGAAAGGAGAGAATGCCTGATTAGGCGTATGTCTTAGATGAGGAACAGGAACTTGCCAATACAGGTGGAAGGGAGTGGCTGCTGTCAGGTGACAGCGACCCTGGCCGTGGACATAATGTGCACCTCTGCAATGGGACATGGGTGCATCTAGCTGGGACTGCAGAAAGCGGGGAGGTCTTGGGGAAAGCCAAGAGTTGCTCCCTCAATGCAGTGGTTCACTCACTTCAGAAGGCACAAGGCCTCCTGGGGAGTATGCAAGTTCAAAGGCCCAAGATTCCGGGTAGGTAGGCCAAA